TATTAATTTGATTAAATAATATTTTATTCGTAATACTGGAAATTGATTAAATATTAATGAGACTAAACTATATTTAATTCATGATTTTGAAGGAGAATTCTATTTGATAGAATTAATTAAGTGTGATAAATTAGATTTACTATACTTAATTAATACTTGTATGTATTTTTTAATTAAATAAAGTTGGTACTTTTCTTTATAATTTGGGATTAAAAAGAAGAGAACAATAAAAGAAACAAGAATAAAGAGTGAAAGTGGCGTGGAGCCCACTTTTCTCTTGTTGATAGTTATGTTTATTTATTTAATTAATGAAATCATTAATAAGGAGTATTGGTCCGGATTAGAACTCATTAATGATGATGACTTTCATTGTGATTGACTAATTGAGAAATTAGTTTAGAATTAGTATAAATATATCCTATTCCTTCATAATAGATAGATCCATTTTCTAGATTCAATATTACCATTTTATTTCCCTGCGAAAAGATTTCCCAGCCTTTCTCTATGGGAGATCTAACTGTTCTTTTCGGAAAGGAGAAATCATGTGAATATCTAAGGTCAAAGATTATCACCACTATGCTGGAAGATCTGCAAATTCTAACTCAGATACGTTATTATTGTTACATTCGTTGTTTTGTCATAATCAGAAAGATATGTTTGGGAAAATTTTAGATTTCCGCTGCTATATTTCGAGGTATGTTATATCAATTTCCTAACGGTTTATGCATCATTAAACTTTTATATGTTTTTACATCATATATATAGCATCAGAAAAGAAGTGTCCCATGTAACCTAATCATTTACGAGACGTAAGAATACGTTATATCAAACCATAATACCAAGCAAAATGACAAGATAGTGGTATGGAGGTAGTTTTTGAGACTGAAGCCTTTCTGTTGAGTCGTTTGAGAAGAATTTGCAATAGCATTTTTAATACTCGTATCAATTAATAAGTTTCTTTGTAAATAATTAACTAATAATTATATTATGATTAAAAAAACTAATAAGTATATCAATGAGTAGTTTAGTTTTTATAAGAATATGTATGGTCACATCATTAGCATGGTGAAAAATATGTAGTGTTTAAATCCTCAAAACATTTCAATTCAAAAGAATGCAAAACTATGAAGTATTGACACCAACAGAAAACAAAAGTATCCTAATAAAGACATTGACAGCAAAAGAATGGCTGAAAAGGATGCCAGCAAAATGCTTTTGTGTTTCAAAAACCACACGAGATTCATCCGATTAAACTCTACCAAATAAGCACATAATAATAAAGTAGCAGAAAGAGCCGGTTGTAGCTTCATAATTTCTGTACGCCGCATTCTATTTACTAGATTTTCACCCATGCGATGGTACGAAATAAAAAGATATTCAATAATTATATACGAAGTATCTTTTTTAGTATAACTAGCATTTCACCCGTGCGTTGCACAGAATGTAATTTTTAAATTTTATGTTGGTTTGTAGGTCTACCGGTGAATGGGGTAGGTTATACCCAACCTTGAACCACCTTTTAATGAGTAAGAATCTACATGTCTTGTTACACAAATTTGATATAAATTTCACTCATTATATATATATCAATAAATGAAAGAATTTTTGCTTTAGTGGTTAAAATTGTACTTGAAGTTTACGTTATAGAAACTACAAAAGTATATATCTAGTCACTACATAATAATTTCAACTTTTACACACAATCATAATCAAAAGTTATGAAGTCACATTTTTACCTGTTTTTTGTTAGTAATATTTTAGGAAGAATTTCATTATTATTTTTACCTCTTTGAACGGTGACATTGTTTGATGCATTTTTGGAATAAAAAATATCATGTAAAGAGTAAAAAGTAAAAAAGTATTACATTAATTGCACGTACGCATGTATTTTTTCATTTTTTGTTTTTTATTCAAATTTAACACTCTTGAACAATACTTTCTCCATTCTTAAATAAGGGCACCAATCAACTTTACACATTTTTCAATGCACAGTTTTGATCATTAATATATATAATTTTCTATTAGTAAAAAAATTACAAAAAAACAGATTTTGAAAATGTACAATTAGATAAAGTTAGCAATATTCTCTTTAAAATAAATTATTGATAAAGTAAAAAGTAAAACGTAATCATATGACTCTTATGGAGTCATGTAGGCTAAGAGCATCTCTAATGGGATGCTTTTAACTATGGATGGACTCGGGTCCGGGCCGGGTCCGGGTCAGACCTAGGCCCGGACGGGCCGGCGTGTCAGAAATGGTCAGAACTGGTTTACCTCACCACTAAAAAGGTGGTCCTCTCCATCCCACTCTAGGTCAGGTAAAAACATAAATCAATAGATTTTAACTTAAAAATATTGTAAATTACAGATTAAATTTAAATCCTTTATAACCTAGGTGGCTAAGATTGACTTCAGATCTCTCTGGCATTCCACTCGAACTATGCCGTGGGGGAAAACGTTAGAGATGAGGGAGACTAATAACGAGATACTCGCAATATCAAAGCAAACAAACAAACATGTCAATAAAAAAGTGTACAGTTTCTCAGCTCAAACCACAACATTTCAGTTTCATAATAAACATGTCATATGAGACAAAATAAGTATCATTTATTATCTCCATCATTAAATGCAGAATGATAGGCAATAATGAAAGGGATATAGACTATCAAAATAGTGTCCTACCGTGGCAGATTTCAATATATTGTTCAACCAAAGCAGGTATTCCGTATTCATTAATCATCTTCACTAATGGTGTCATCAACTTCGTTGAACCTTTGAAAGGGAGAACTCTAGAAGAAAAGATTAATTTTAGGGTAAAGAAGGTGATAACTAATTGGAATGAAAGATAAGTTAAACATGACCTTATGGTTTCCTTCTATAAAAAGTAATGCAAGTCATCACAAAAAGTAATTAAACGGAATATGTCATATTCGTTGTAACTAATCTAATAAATGTAATAAACAAATAACATTTATGCTGCAGAAAATTAAAACGACATAGAAAATGATACTCCCGTCTCACTCCGTCCCATTATAAGGTTCTCACTTTCCTTTTTTGGACATCCCGTTAGAAGGTTCCATTTCCATTTTAGGAAACAATTAACAATCTTAAGTGACAAATAAATCATTAAATATTAAAAACAATACATTTATAACATCACCGTTATCAATACTAACTACATTATAATATATACCTATCAAAATTATTTCTCAAAATATACTCGAATAACTTTATTTAATTATTGCCTAAATAACCGTGCCGTTTTGCTATGAGAACCTTCCAACGGGACGGATGGAGTAATAACGTAATAGTGCGGTTATATTATTTGCCACACACAAACCTCAATGGGCAGTGGAAGACATAAACATACTATAAGCAACAAATCCATATTGAAATGACAATACTACTAATTAACATCAAATTAAAACGGTATCTGCCAACATATCCGAGTGAGGAGAAATTGCATATTTGCATCATGTAGCCAGAATTTCGAAGTTCTGCCGTTTCTGCTGCTTGCTATTTATTAACAAAGTGCTCTAAACATGATGTAAGGTTACATGGGAGTGAAAAAGATCCCAAATATAACATAAGTGATGAAATTAGCCTCACTCAGGTATTTGAACAGGTTGCTGTTAATGTAAAAACCAAGGGAAGTATATTACTACCGGGGGCTGAAAGATTAGTGGGGAGTCGGGGACTTATTGTGTTGTGTAACTTTCATTATGAAAAATGTAAATCACGTTTAAACAGGATGTAACTTACTGAGGAAAATTGATATGTAAATAAAGACATCAACTATCTCACCCTTTTGACCAAATACATAATTTCTTGGAGCTTTCTAATTTGGATCTGATTTTCAAAACCCGGTGGAGGAAGCTTTGGCCATTCAGGAGACAACTACTTCCGTTCCGGAACAGCAGGCGCCAGCCGGAGAGAAGGTGGGAGGCTCCAAGCAGTCTCCTTGGATCACCTTAGGCAGGTGGCTATGGCAGATGGCAGATTTGGCCATGGAAAATGGCTATTTGGCTGTCAATTGCTTGATCAGAATTATCTGGAGATGCTCACCTTCTCTGATCTCTTTGGCGCTGCACATGCCTCTTCACAAAAGGCAACTTGCGATGGGGGGAACGGGAAGGGCGCACCTTCTCTCCTCTCTTTTTTAATTACAATTGGTATTACTAGATCGAATTGTCATTTGTTTGGATATCATTACGAGACTGTTTAATGCCATCTCAAGTGATATGAGATAACCCGGGTTTTGAATCCATTGTGAGTTTTATGAGATCGAATTGTCATTTGTTTTACATGTTTTCCTATCTCTTTAATATTATTAACATAGCAACTAGATCAGTCACATTTATGTTCTCTTTCTTTTGCGTGTAACTTTGAGAGACATCGCAAGATTAATACTGACAATGAGAACTGAGTGTTGCTTCTATCTGCAAATAAGTATTGATACTATGTTGAGCAGAGGTAAAAAAGTAATATTAAAGTACTTGGTTTAATTCTTGGTGTATATTATTATTGCAGATAGTAAAAACTGGGGAAATTATTTCTTCATGTCCGCAGCAGGCTTCATCATCCCACCGTAACAGAATATGGAACAACATCATCCAACCTAAGTGCTCTCAATCGTGCATTGAAATTTTGTGCTAAGCTGTCTCGTGCTGGCCTCCTCTCAAGAACCGCGAACAGACAAACAAGGCAAGATCCTTCCTTAGTCACCCAAGGGACAATGCAGTCCTCATGAAACATATATGGTGGCAAGGAGTGAGAGTCACCTCTTCTCTCGGCTCAAAATCTTCTAGGCAAACAGAACATCTCTTCCAGTTTTCATCCAGCTCCTTCGGGGTGGCAGCTCTTGCCGCTGGATTGTACTTCTCTTTCTTTAGTTTGCATAACACCTTTTCCTGCTCGTCCGCAGTCAGCTTGCATTGGTTTATTTGGTTTTGAGGATTACCATGGAGACGTATGTACCACTGATGAACAGGAGCAGGAGAAGGACAGGCTGGTTGGAGGGTTTGAGATGAAAACCATTTGCTGTTCAACCATCTTCAAAAACTGCAGCTCGGGTTGGTGGAGGAAATAGTACGTCTTTGCGGCGGCAATCTGCAATTTTGGTTACAATGTTATGATATTAAGTGATTGTTCCACAACATGTATAAATGCACAAAAAACTTAGCTGAAGAGACTAAGGGTAAAATGAATTAAGGGTAAATTTGAAATAAATGTAGAGTAACATATCTCTATATGACAATTACATATGGTGTTCCCCTAAATATGACCATCATCATAATATTTTATGACCGCTGTTTGATGATTTTTATTTATTTAGTTAATCACTTTTAGTCTATAACCAAATAGATAACATCTTAAAAGAAAAATATGGTAGATATATTTGAAGAAATTTGTTAGGTTATAGTACATCTAACATCCACACAATATTAACGGAACACAATTTACACACATTCCAGGGATCTAGGGGATTAAGATCTAAGGGTTAGGGAATTGGACATTTCTTGTACCAAATGAGCCTCAAGTGACAATTGAAATCACAGACTAATGGTCAAGTATCCTCCAGTTTATATAAAAGTATATAATAAATGCATTTGTAGAGTGTAAAGAGAGAGAAGTTACGAGCCGAATGCTTCCACGGCATCTCCTATAATTCTCCTCTTAAATAAGTGATGACCTTGAATGCTGAAAGCAACCATTCTGGTTGTTCTGGAAGGACTGCATGCAACCAATGAGAAATACATGTTTACGGAAACAAGCTTGTGCATGTTCAAACCATATAAGATACATACACATGAAATATCAATATGTGCTTACTGGAGGCCCTTCAGGCCGAATAAACCCAGGTTGTATTCTGTTCCTGTTGTACCAATCAGCAGGCTCTGACATAAGAGAGCTAGGATATCCAGGTTGCATTCTGTTCCTGTTGTACCAATGAGTAGACTCTTCTAGTTGATGAAATTGAGGGAATCCATATTGTGTTCTCATTCGGCTGTACAAGCTAGGTGGCCCATAAGTAAAGCTTCCATAATCATTCCCTGCATATATCTTTGAGGAGGCAAATATTCAAACATGTTATCACCAAAGCTGCTGCTCATCTTGTTTATGGGCTTTATTGTCCTCAAACAGCCGCAGCTTTTAGATTAAAGCAGAGCAAGATTTCGGATGAGGGACATAGGAGCATATTGAACCATTACTTATTAGCTCTTATGGAACAGAGTTTTTTGGGATTGAAAAGATTGTCCACTTTTTGGTGGCCAGGTGTCAGTCCCATAAGAGTAGAAATCAAGCAAAAATCCAATTCCAGAACTGTTGAAAATGTTGCTTGAGTGTAAAAGGCATCAAGAAATTTCTTTGATTTATAGGAGAGACGACGATTTGGAAAGCATTTGATTTAAAAAAAATGCTAAGGGTGAAGTTCACACATTCTGGATCATTTGGCAAAATAATTGATTAATAGTGTCCTTTGTTTAGAAGAATAAATATATTCATCAACATTAGCACCATAATCCCAACTGTGTAACAAAAAGAGCAAACTATGCAAATTGAAAGCTTTGAGCACAGTTGAAGAAAATTTCTGGTTTATCTAATTTTTAAGTAGATTGTACTCATTTTAAGTATTCAGTTCAATCACACGAAATGGATCAAAGAAAGAACAAAGTCTACAAAACAGGTGATACAATAGTGCAAATGCCAAGTTGAAATACTGAATATTAAGTAGTTATAGCATTTTGGTTGGGTTCAAAAGTAATATACTAACCTTTGTACCAGAAATGTCTTAAACATCACTCCCAGGTAATTCATTTCACCAGAAGTCATCACAGCTGCAACCTCCAGATGGTGAAACCTCAGGCTGCAAAACAAAACTAACTTTTGTTTTGTTGCATTCTCTGATTTGTGATGGTGGATATGTAATTCAATGCAGTGTGGCAATCAGCACATACCCACAAATTCTTGGTAACAAGAATGGGCTTTCCAGGATCAACAGAACAAATCAAGGCAGAAGCTACTGACATCTTCTCACTGTGATGAAGAACATTTTCTTTTTCCTCCCCTTCAACATCTTGGTGCACATAATCAAATTCTGACCGATACCCCAAAATCTTCATCTCATTGATTTTGAAGGACTATGGGTGAGATTGATCCCCACCAACGAATCCATGGACATTCCTGTTTGCTTCAACCCAACTACACCATGGGCCTTGTTAAAGCTCAAACCTTCTGTACAATTCTTATATTAGCAGCAACATTCCATCTCTTAGCAGTACTGTATCAATTCGAGAAAAGAACAAAATCACATTAATAAAAAGTGTGTGAAAAGGAGCATTATACTTTAGTATTGATAAAAAGTACTCCCTCCGTCCCAATTTGATGGTATCATTGCGGTTTGACCGACGATAAAGCAAACAGATCGCTGTCCGCACTCAAATTATTTTTAGAAAAAAAAGTTACATATTCAAAAACTACATTACAAGTTTTACAAAGTCGCAAAAATCAGAATCAAATTTGATAAAAAATTGATATATAGAGTAAGAGATTAAGAGTGATTTGTGTTGACTAAGTGAATAAGAACTGTTACCATCAAATTGGGACGAAGGTAGTATGTGAATAAAAGATAGACTAAAAATATTTAGAACTTACATATTTAATGATTTCCTTTTGATGACTCCCCTATTTCAAATCTTGGGCGCTTTATTAGACCCATTGCAGACTTGATGTGTTTCACTTTGGTTAACTTTACTTTTTTTTTCTTGTTCCAATCATACACCTCAATAGGAAATTTCTCTAATTCCGCAACTTTTTCTTTCTCTCCTGAATCTTTGTACTTCAAAACATATTTAGATAGTGTTCCCCATTGATTCACCAAACCAAGGATCCAGTCTGGAGCTGCCTCAGAACATCCCTCTCCGAAAAAATCAGATACAAAGTGTAAAATATGGTTGAATCTCAGTGATTCAGAGACGGTGATGATGAGCGTTAATAACTCTCGTGCCAAACCTTGCAATTTCTTTAAGTTTATTTCAGATGTCTTGACTCCCTTCAGAAATCTCAACGACTTGCCTAACATTTCAGGTCCTCCTAAAAGAGCCCTTTTATCAGCAGACGCAAATCTTAGGCTAGCATAATCCATACCTAGATTTATCATTGTTGACCCCTTAATTTCTTGCTTCTTAGGGCTGTTTTCTTGCAATTCAAGCCAACCATCTCCGGTCTTAAATCCAATCACATATAGATCACTTCTTCTTATGGCAACTTGTAACTCTGTATCCGCGTATCTTAAAGTTAAACGGAATAGTTTTTTCTTTTCCTTTTCACTGAGTGGTTCGACAACAAGTATGTCTCCTAATGGGGTACCGAAGCTCATGCGTAACTCATTGATAGAGTTTACAAAAGCTGTTGGATCGAGAATTGTTGAAAAATCTAATACTTCTGTGTTCCAAAAAAAATCACCGTCGGTCATATCAAATGAACTTGTTGGCAAGTTGTTTAGTACTGTAATATAATACAAGAATGAAGTTTTAATAAGTCATTTATTAGTGTAGTGAGTATACAAAAATTATAATACACATTACACATATATACCAATGATTACGCCAGGTACATATGTAGAGAGCTATAAGTATCATCTTAGTTGCTTATTTCACAATATTGTAACAAGTATTACCGACTATGAATAAACAAGGAGTTATTCACTTAATTTTAATAAATTAAGGCTGATTTTCACAAGTTTGACCACTTTTACATTTGGACAAAAATGTGACTAAAATAAAGCGACAACCAGATATTCATGTCACTACCCCATTTTCATGTCACTGTCGGATGTCACTGCTGCTATCGTCTATGTCACTTCTTCCGCCATAGCTCGTATCACTTCTTCCATCATCGCTCGTGTCACTGCTGCCGCCGACCACAGTGACACCGCCGCAGGCCACAGTGTCACCGTCATCGGCACTGCCCAATTACCGCCGCTACACCACTTCATCCAGTGACCACCACCTAGCACCACATACCATAGCCCCCGGCAACCACCGGACCCACGCCCCAGCACCCCAAACCCATTCCACCAGCCCAGGTGCCCACCGCCCCTGCCCGCACCCTCCCTAGCTAGCCCAGTCCCTCCCCTCCCCTGTCACTGCCCCATTCCCAATACCCTTCACAACGGCCAACTACCTATTCAGCCACCTTCCCAACCCTAGCCCCTTCCCCAACCGCTGCACCAACACCCGAAACCCTAGCCGTCCAGATTTAGCCGCGCCGCCATCGCTGAATGCAGAAGAAACAGAAGGAATAGAAATCGGCGTATGATTGGACAAGGCGACGACGACCGGCGAGCAGAGGGGTAGGTAGATGGAGACTGCTGAAGGCTTAGGGTTCCGACTGTGACTTCGACGATGGATCGGAGGAGCGATGGAGATCGATCGATCCTTGCTGTGAGTTCGATGGTGGAGGAGCGATGGAGATCGATCGATCCTTCTTCCCATCCACGTTCGATTTGTTGATGGGGAGAGAAGGTGTCGGCGAAGGGGGACGAAGTTGGTAGCTTGTTCTGCATTAGCAAAGGAGATCGAATGCAGAGCAGAAAAGCCGAATAAAGAGAGATGCGGATGTTAAGTCACTTTTTTGTCAAGTTTAAAATTGGTCATATTTTGGTCCATCAAAACCTTAGGAGTTATTTTTGCCATTGTTTCATTAAACTAATGCAAACCCATTTTCGAAACAGAAATGCTAGGGGTACACAAGTTGTACACAACTTGTACACATAATGTTGATCACAGACAATTGATACGGAGTTGTGTGTGTACACAGACAACTTTTGTCTGTGTTCACGGATATTAATTTTCGTGTAAAAGAAACACTGACAGTTGTTTGACACTGACACCAACCTACAAATCAATCTATATTTGTGCAGAGTGTCTGTGTGCACAGACAATATTTTCATGTTGCATAGATAATTATTTGTCTGTGTGTATAGACAATATTCACCACACAGATAATAGTCGTGCAGCTCACAGACAATAGTAGTCTGTGTAATCAATTGTAGTTGTCGATGTAATCAATTTAAAATGTCTGAGTGAACAAAAATTGCAATTGTCTATATACATCCAAATGAATGATGTAGTTGTATGTGTAATCAATATATATGTAATTTGAAAAAAATTAGAAAAATAATAAAAATAGATGAAATAAGATGAATAAGCTGATTTTGTTCAAATAATGAGAAAAAATTGATATAAAAGGTAGAGAAAAAGAGGATGAAGAAGGAAAGAGGAGGATGAAGAAGATAAGATTAGATGATCATCCCATATTTTTTTTTTGAGAATTTTAAAAGGGATTGGGTAAAGAGGAAAGAGAGAAGGGAGGGGGAATAGAGAAGGGAGGGTGAAGAGAGAAGGGAGATAGAATGAGAGAGAAGAGGGAGGGGGAAATGGGTTTATTTTTGGGAAAGTTCACGAAATAAGACTAAAACAGTTTGAAAATTCCAAAATAAGACTGCCATATTTTTTATTCCCAAAATAGGAGTAATTACTACATGTTTAAAAAATACTGTCATGCTTGAAGTCTGGTACTACCAAAATATGGCAGTAATTAGTCCTATTTTGGGAATAAAAACATGAGAGTCCTATTTTGGAATTTTGATACTGTTTTAGTCAATAATATCTCTTTTTTTTGTTTTTATATCATGTACAACTTATGTACATGGTGTGTACACTAAGCACTTTTTTTTTCGGAAACTGAGAATGCATTCCACCAACTAAGAATGCATTCCACCAACTAACATAAATCAAGATTTAAAACACTTTCTACTCGTAAGTCATAATCTCCAAATAGCAATTTCTAAAGCGTCAAATTACAAAATTTAAAACACTCATGGTAAAAGGAGTTGTTTACACATTCTTGAGTATGAAATAAGAAAGTTGTTTACTACTAGTAGTAAATACGGAACCCATTTTTCGAAAACAAAGAATGCATTCCACCAACTAATATAAATCAAAGCATTATTACCACTCATAACTATCTACAAATAGCAATTTCTAAAGCTTCAAAATACAAGATTTAAAACACTCATGGTAAAAGGAGTTGAATACACATTCTTGAATATGAAATAAAGAAGTTGTTTACTACTAATAGTAAATACGGAACCCATTTTCGAAAACAGAGAATGCATTTCACCATCTAATATAAATCAAAGCATTATTACTACTCATATATAACTATCTACAAATAGCATTTTCTAAAGCTTCAAAATAGAATACCTGGATTCAAAAGGGCTCAAGGTAAAAGGAGCTGTTTACACATTCTGGAAAATGGAATAAAGAAGCTGTTTATTACTGCTACTACTAAATACGTACCTGGATTCAAAAAAAGCTAGGGTTTCCCATTCATCGCTGTTGCCTCTGCTGCTGCATCAACCCTCAGAGCGTACCAGGCCAGTCTATTCACCGAAGATGACGAAGAGAACCTAGAAGGCTGGCATTGTTGGAAAGTATTGTACCCGGTGCAAGTTTGAGACAACAAATCAAGAAAATGGAAGCAAGTCAGCACATCAAGTTCTTCTGTGAATTTTGTGGCTGCGATGAAGTGAAAGGTACTTCATTTTTGAAAAAGAACATGGTGCTTCATTTTTGACTTTAATGTTATCGAACAATTTTAACTTTAATGTTCTATAAAATGGTGCTTCATTTTTCTCTGTATCGTTCCAATGGTGCTTCATTTTTGAAAAAGAAAAAGAAAAAAGTACCTGGCTTCAAAATAAAAACACACTCCCCATATGTGAAGCAAACCAGAAAGAAAAGATGGACGATAGAAATGTTAGCAGGCACTGTTCAACCATGCAGATAAAAAGACAGCTGCATTTATGAAAGATCAAATCATGAGATGTAAAGAAGGTAGGGTCCTTACAGAAAAAGAAGAAGTTCAGGGTTGTTAGAAAAATACTGTTTGCACTTGAACAGGGCCCCAATTTTATAGTAGGCTGATTTGTTATAGTAGGCCCATTAGTGTTATATTCTTTTATATACTCCCTCCGTTCCATATTTATCTTCGTAGTTCGGTTTACGATGCTTGACTGACGATAAAGCAACTTGATCCTTGTTCACACTCATATTATTTTTAGTAAATTAAATTTACATATTCAGAAACTACATTAAATCCGCTACAAAGGCTCATCAAGAAAATTTAAGTTTGATAAAAATTTGATATATAAAATAAAAGATTAAGAGTAATTTGAGTTGACCGTGTGAATAATAACTATGAAGATAATTTTGAGACGGAGGGAGTACTACGTATCAACTTTAGCTCATGCTCCATATTGTCTTTTCTGAACTCATGTACTCCATATCAAATAGTAATTTTTAAACTATTTGAACTCATATACGTGATATATCTTTATTTTCACACAAGTCGCATGATAGAGTATATGAGTCCAAATGCCATGATCCACGTACTCAGAAGACTAAACACAAAGACAGCTGGCACCCACGTGGCCCTCCATCGGCCAGATGGCCATCCATCGACCGAACACCTATCAACTCAGAACATGATCCAGAAGCCCAGGAGCACAACGCGGTCCTCCGTCGGCTGGCACTCCGTCGATCAGGCACTCCATTGGCTCAGGGGGTCACACAGAACTAGATCGTATACTTAGTCAAATATTGATTGTATCCGGCACAATAGAGGTCTTATATTGTAATGGGTCTCCCAAGCCCAATACTTGGGAGTCTCAACTCACATTTTCCCTATAAATACCCCCTTTGGGGGTAGTTGCAAAGGGTTGAGAAAATATTAATTGCACTTCCCTCTCTAGCTCTCACTTCTCTCTAAAATTAGACACTCTATCATCGCAATAATATACGGCGTAACCTTGTAGATAGTTAATGTTTTTAGGCACACCTAGCTAAATACTGGGTCGGGACCTAGGTTGCCCCCCCCCCCCCCTAACTACACCCCTACTTCCAAATGTTAATGTTTTTAGGCATTATTTTTTCTTGAACTGTTTTGATGTAGATAATATGCCAAATAAGGAAAGGAGAAAAAATGTCAACTTTATTTTGGACCTATCCAAAAAAGAAAGTGTGAAGTTTCTTTAGGACTGGAGGGAGTATAAAAGAGTAAAGTTAATACCTTAAAATTGTTCTCGACATTCCTCTAAAGAGAACAAAACCTTATGTAGCACGTAGTATTAGACTACATGTCACTATGAATTTCTATTTTTAGGAATTGGACTTGCCTTTAAATTTTTAGATTTTTTAAAAAGAATACACAATCATTCATAATAAATAAATTTATAGACACTCTATCACTATTTAACTTATCATATATATTTTTTATTTCTTTCATTTTTTAACCATAGGAATTATCTAATTAAAATTTGGGAAAGCAAATATTGCATTTACTTATATTGGGGGGGGGGGGGGGGTATTTTTTTTTTTGGGGGGGGGGGGGGGGGCAATTTCTTTTTCTCGTATGTAATGAAAAACAAATATTTTCCTCGGGAGGGTGGGGCGGTGCCCCCTGGGTCTCTACTACGGTCTGCCCCTGCTTATATTGTATTCTGGAATAGACTCAAGAAGTTTGAATCCGAGTTGGACAATAGTCTAAAACGGAGCTAGTGTATTTCGGAAAAGTTCCAAACAAGATACTACATCCGTCCCATTCAAAGGTTCACAAGTCAAAATGACATGATTACTTAGATAATAATTAAATATGCTAATTCAAGTATATTTTGAGAAATAATTTTGATGAGTATATAATATAATGAGTTATTGATGATAATTGTGATTTTATTAAATGTTTTTTTAGTATTTGATGATCATTTAAGAGTGTTAATTGTTCCCTTAAATAGAAAGTGGGAACCTTTAAGTGTGACGTCCAAAAAAGGAAAGTGAAAACCTTGAAATGAGACGAAGTGAGTATTTTATAATGGAAATTCGATAATAACTGAAAGATGTAATAACAATTGTGACATTAATTTTAGCAATTAGATCTATTTAAGAAAAATTTTGGATCCAAAAACTAAGAGTTGGAATTTCTTTTTTAAGTTTTATATATATACTATTGGTGTCAATACAAATT